ACCAAATATTAAACATATATTTATGTTATTTATCTGTATAGATCCATAGTCTTGTACAGATTGTAAGTAGGTAAATATTCAATTGAAATTTCACTTGTTAAAATGAAAAAAAAAATACATTCAAATAAATTATCACAAATGAGAATTATTTAAGTTTTGATGTAAATAGAAAAAAATTATTATTGTGAGTTAATATCAGAGATTAAATATTATAAAGTAAACTTAGGTAGATAAAGCAAATAAAATTTTATATATACATATAATTGTAAACTATTATGTATATATAACATTATATTCCATTAAATGTAATATATAAGTGTTAGACGTACATACCTTTCATACATTTTGTGGCTAATATCGACATTCGTAAAATCTGCTTCGAATTCACTTATGTCTTCAGCATCAAAATTATCAGCCGACTCATTCTTTTCTATAAATTTCTTCATTCTTTTCTGAATACCGGCGAGTGGCCTAGTGCGAGTTGCAGACTTGAAAGTCGCTTTCTTGCTAAACATTCTGCGTAATACTATTGTCATCGCACTAATTTCGGTCATCATGAAATCCAGTAAAGAGATCTAATTTACAATCAATATAAACAAATAACAAATATCCCAATTATGGTGTAAGCATGGTATAAGTAGTTCTACTTAATAGTTTTCCACTATTAGTATAAGTAGTTCTATTCAATTCTACTTTAAAGTGAGAAAGGTATGTATTTGATATTTATCGAAAGTGGGAAAAAGAGTTTCTAGTGCAGACTAGTGCAGGAACAGAAAACGGACCATATCGACCACATGATTCCAATCTGACTAGACGTCATCAGCATGGTGGAAGGGATTTCTTCCACCTGCTTTTAGGCTTTTATCATAGTATATACGAGCAGTACAAGAGGTCTCTCGCAAGAGCTTTGATAAATGCAGGAGGTAAGGTAGGAAAAATGGCGGATGAAAGCGAGGATCAATGGTTATACGGGGATTCAACGGACGGCAAGGAGTACACGTCGACGAATATTCAATCAGAGATTCAGCAAAATGACTCGACACTCTCCGAAGTTCAGGAGAACTTGCAAATTCGGGAGGATCAGAAAATGGAAGGTACTGGTGAAATACCGTCCGAGGTATGTATGCGACTTAACCTCTCTCAATCATTTAGAATTGATTGATTCCCTTCAAAATATCATGCAAAGGTCTTACATTTATTTCAGTATTGAAGATTTAATATGCTTATCTTATATCACATACAGTCTTTCTAATTATGCACGTTTTAATGATGTGACATAACCTGTCACATCTGTAAAAAAAAACACAATATTTGAACAATAAACATTGTATTTTGTAAAAGGCTGTGCTATATGATTTAAAGAAAAGATTGAAGGCATCTAACTTAGTTTTCACAATCTAAAAGAACTTAAACAATAAATAAATCTATAGGCAGAAAAGGAAGATAGATAAATCCATCAAACTGTAATTTGTATATATATATATATATCGTATATATATATATATATATA